CCCCATATATAATTGTAAATTAATTATTGTTTACAATTTAAGTCAATCCAACCTAATTAACAACAATCAATCTTTTTTTTTTTTACTTTTATTTTATTCAATGCCCAATTTTAGATTATTTTAGCAAAGCATAAGGAATTACTTCGTGAGCAACAAGAGCGTGAAGGAAAACGGCATCTTAATCTTCTTTTAGAACATTCTACGCATATGCTAGAGGTTCAACATAATGAGTTAGTAGGTACACAATCGACGCGTGATCGTATGGGCGACGATGACGAGGATTACGATGAGACAGAGAACCTTGGTATAGAGGATTCAGAGTCTGATTTAAATATAACCGAATATTATAGTCAAATGTCGGCCTCATCTACTGAAGTAGACGATATTGATCAATTTAACGAAGGTGATGAGTCATCAATGGATGCACAAGATTTAGAAGATTCCGAAGAAGAAACTTTGAGATCATTAATAGAAGAACCAGAAAACTTTGTTAAGGAAAAGCCTAACAACACAATATCTGTTGTTTATTCTGAATGTGAAAACCGAGAAAGCGAAGAACAAATTAATCCTACATCTAAGGAATCTGAAATTTCTAATACCTTATCAGAACCTCCTACTGGAACTACACTATCTACTGCCAATGTAAGGACGCAAATCCCACCATTATTACGAGGACAACTACGTGAATATCAACACGTTGGTCTTGATTGGCTTGCTAGTTTGTATAATAATGGTTTGAATGGTATTCTTGCTGACGAAATGGGTCTCGGCAAAACTATTCAGACAATCGCATTATTAGCTCATTTGGCTTATGAGAAAGGGGATTGGGGACCTCATTTGATTGTAGTGCCTACAAGTGTCATCATTAATTGGGAAATGGAGTTTAAAAAATGGTGCCCGGGATTTATAATTTTGACATACTATGGTAGCCCAAAAGAACGTAGAGAAAAACGGATTGGTTGGATGAGGGAGCATAGCTTTCACGTTTGTATTACATCGTATCATCTCGTTGTGTTGGATCAAGTTGTATTCAAAAAAAAGAAATGGCATTATCTAATTCTCGATGAAGCGCATAACATTAAAAATTTCCAATCACAACGTTGGAAAACCTTATTGAATTTTAATTCAGAAAGAAGGCTATTACTCACTGGTACACCATTGCAAAACAATCTTATGGAATTATGGTCATTATTGTATTTCCTGATGCCTAATGGGGTTTCTGGGGATATGCCACTTGGCTTTGCCAACCAGAAAGAGTTTCAAGAATGGTTTTCACGCCCTGTCGATAGGATTATCGAAAATAATGAACAATTTGATGATGAAACTCTCGCCGCAGTTCAAAAATTACATACAGTTTTACGACCATACCTGCTACGTCGTTTGAAAGTTGATGTAGAAAAGCAACTTCCTGCAAAACATCATCACATAATTAAATGCAGACTTTCTAAACGGCAACGTTTTTTGTATGATGACTTTATGTCCCGTGCGAAAACCAAAGAAACTCTTCAGTCTGGCAATTTTCTAAGTATCATAAACTGCTTAATGCAATTACGCAAAGTCTGTAATCACCCAGATTTATTTGAGGTGAGGCCTATTCGTACGTCGTTTGCCATGTCCAAATCAGCAATTGCAGATTATGAAGTCAAAGAATTCTTGGTCCGCCGGAGATTGTTGCAAGATCATGACGTATTTAAAAAATCAAATTTGGAGTTTATGAACTTTATTCCAAGTCATTTTGAAGATAATCTTGACACATTAATTGCAAATGAATGGGAAAAATTGAATCCTGAGAAAAAATTCTTAGATAAAATAGAAAATAGAAATTTAACTTTTCAAAAGCCCATGACTTACTGTAGCCTCGTTGAGTTTGGTCGTGCGACGGAACATCGTGCTCGTCTTAAAACTAGGCAGCGGTGGAACCACTTGCTATACATTAACGATTTTCGGCTTAGACGCCGTCCTATATATGGAACAAACCTTATAAACTTATGTCGACGACTAGGATCAACTAAATGTGACATGCTATTAGCTGATACTAAAAATCCTCGGACTTATATGACTCGTATTGAATCAATTACGGATCTTATTGTGTCCAATGAGCGTAGATATAATATGATGGAGGAAGTAATTAAGCAGTACGCATTTGTAACACCCGCTGTGGTTGCTAGGGATATGGCCTCCTTGGCATTAGCAGAATTACCAGATGAATTACGTTTGATGATTCATGATAAGGTGCAAGACATATATCATCCGATACGTGTCAAACTTCAGATTGCCTTTCCTGACAAGCGGCTATTGCAATATGATTGTGGAAAGCTGCAAGAATTAGACCGGCTGCTTCGAGATCTTAAGGAAAAAGGTCATCGCGCGCTTATATTTACTCAAATGACTCGTGTTCTTGACATTTTGGAAATATTTTTAAATATCCATGGACATCGTTATCTTCGACTTGATGGTGCCACGAAAATCGAACAACGGCAAATATTAACGGAACGTTTTAATCATGATCCAAAGATATTGGTCTTTATACTTTCAACAAGATCTGGTGGCTTAGGTATCAAATTAATTTAATTAAATCAACTACTAATTAATTCACTCTTGTGTATTTTATCGTCTAATGCTTGTATTTATTCTTTGCTAGGTATTAATTTAACGGGAGCAGACACCGTTATCTTTTATGATTCTGATTGGAATCCTTGTATGGATCGACAGTGTCAAGACAGGTATTTTATGTTCTATTTACTCCATTGTATTTGCATCAAATAGTTATACATATATCACTTTCCATTTATAGATGCCATCGTATTGGTCAAACGCGTGAAGTAAACATATATCGATTCGTTAGTGAATACACGATCGAAGAAAACATGCTACAAAAGGCCAATCAAAAACGACTATTAGATAAAATGGTAATTACAGATGGTGAATTTACAACTGACTATTTTCAAAAGTTGGATTGGCGTGAACTTGTTAGCGATATAGCACCACATCGTATTAGAGAGGTGAATGATGAACCAAACTCTGGTGTGGAACTAGAGCAATGCCTCGCAGAAGTTGAAGATGATACTGATGTTACTGCGGCTCAAGTAGCTAGGAATGAAATGGATCTTGACCTTACTGATTTTGCAGAAGTCGCTGAAACGCCAGCGGAAAGCTCAAATACTGCAGCTGCAGGACAGGCAAGTTCGATCTCAACTGCACCATCACCAAACGAGATAGATGAAGCGAACGATGACAAACCAGATCATGTGGATTATTATATGCTTCGATTCATGGAACGTGAATTGGGACTTTATGTTGGGTTCGGTGGGTTACCCAACCCCGAAGGAGAAGAATAATCGTTTTTAGCATAAATTAAAAGAAAAAAAAAAATTTGCATAATAAATTTCTACTGGGTTGGTTGGTGTTGGAAATGAAAATTGTTTAAACTTTTGGATATTAAGGGATATTAAGTTTATAATTACTAAAAAAAATCCAGAGATTCGATGTCATTTTTGATTACACGTATCTCTTGTATAATTGCCATATAATTCTATGCTGACCTTTATCGTATTGGACAGTCAAAACTAATTTGGGAATTATCCTTCATTGCTTCACTCATCCTTAATAATGATACTAATGTTAAAGCCATTCGTCATATGGATTATTAATGAAACAAATAAGTTTCTTGCTAACAATAAATTTTGCTTAGTTTAATTACCAGAGTGTGTTGATATGAATTACATGTATGGTTTAGTTAATCGACTAAGGTCAAGCAGAATAATTGATGATTTATTAAAATTTATTTCGAAATCGGATTTAGGGCGCATTTAGCAACTATTTCTTGGCCAAAATTATCAGCTGGGCAGCTTTACTTAATGAGTGGGTATGGCTTTACGACCAGGGTAAAATCGAAGTTTCGAACGTCACGTGACAAATACATCGAACACTCATATCCCTTAAACCGTATAGCGTACATATTTTTTAAAGACCTATTTTATATTAGGCTACTTTCTAAGCTAAAATAAAAAGGTGTCACATGTTAATTCCTATTTTATGAAATTTCTTGAGGGTTATATAGATATCAAGAATGCGATTTAGATCATAAGGGAGGGTCGGGTATTCTGGCGCACCTAAGAGTGCTAATAGTAAAAATTCTTAGGAAAAGCGTAGTTGTTCTTAAGATTTATTGAAATAAACTAAAAACACAATTTACTACCTATCAGTAAAACAAAAAAAAAGGCTTTACTATAAAAAAAAAAGATTTTCGACCTTCCAAAAACTATCGAAAAACTGTTATGTTTTTTCTTAACAGGAGGCATTCTGGCGCACTACTGCAGCGTACTGTATAAATCGTATTCTTGATATCTCTATATAAATACACTATAAACTACATCAAAAAAGTAACTTAAATCCGACGATACATATGACCACGTGATCAAAGATTAACTTAGATTAACGTTAACATTAATTATATTCTTTTTACTCTTTTTATGCAGACGTTCTTCCTTTTTTCGTTCTATTTCAGCCCTTTTTTGTGCTTTCTTTACTTCTCTATCAGCTCGTTTTTGGGCAGCTGCTTCTTTTCTTCGTTTTGTGCTTTCCACTTTGTTCTTTGCTAATTCGTCCATTTCTTTTAATGCTCATATAGATTCCTCATTAGTAAGAAGTCAAGCGAAGGGGAGAGTTTTTCTCTTTTTTGCCTGTTGGGAATCTGATTCAGTTGCTTGCAATACTCAGGAAATAGGATACTTAAGAGCTAGTTTTAGTGAACAGGTACTGAGATTTTTAAATGTTTCAAGTTCTTCTTTTAATATTTTATTTTCATTCATTAGAAAAGTTATTTCTGTTTTTAAAAGTTTATTTTCTATTGTAGTACTAGTTTGAGTAAAAGAATGATTTTGTTGAGAAGATGAAATAGAAGAATAATGGATAGCTTGAGATGATATAGAGGAATAATGAACAGTTTAAGACGATATAGAGAAATAATGGATGGTTTTAGATGATATAAAGGAATTTTGTTAAGAAGATGATAATATGGCATTTGAAAGAAGTTTTTGATCAGTTGATTGGAATGAAGATAAAACATTAATTTGTTCTGTATATATAGAGGAAGTAAGATGATCTGAATTAATAGTATTAGGATTAATAATCATATTAGATGTGTAAGTTTTTATATATGCTAGATCAAACATTTTGATGAATGTGTGTTTAGTTACTAATTCACTACTCTCACTATGAAGTTTATTGCAAACCTTGTTGTATTCAGCTTTTAGTTTGGAAAATGGAAGTTTGGATGACTGAAGGATATGAGTCATATGTGGAGGAAAGGTGTATAAAAGAATTTTATTTTTGTAACAAAAATTGATGCTTGTATAATTTATATGGTTCTTGTAGTCATTAAGAGTTAGAAGAACTGGATGTTGAGAAGGAATAGAACTAATAAAGTGTTCGATATACATTTGAAACAGATTTTTTTTATATATTTTGAGTTGGTAAAGCTCATAACAGTACCAGCCGGAGCACCATCTAATAAATTGGAAATTGTGTGAATGCTCTTGTAAATAATTAAAGATGGTATGTAGCCGTCAACAACTAAAATCGTTGGAATAACAGAGATATGTTCGTGAGAGTTTCTATGTGAAACTTAATATATTTGGTGAGAACCTTTTGTTGCAATGACTTTCTGTATCTTGGGGGATATAACAAAACTGGTTTTATCCATATTCCAGATTTGATCAGCAATAAGTAAATATTGTTTAATTATTTTATAAAATTTATTGAAATAGTCTCTAATAATAATTGGATTGGCTCTCTGTGCACATGCCTCTGACAAGGTCTAAGGCATACAAAAAGACAAATTAGGATAATCTCTCATAAAATGTTTCCATCAGGCTTTACCAGATCTATTATTTTTAAAAGAGTGATTACAATTGTTACTTTTTACAATGTTCATTATGTAGTAATTAACACCTAACCTTGTAAGACCAAACTCTAAGTTTTGCATATTTTTACAATAACCAACTAATTGTTGTTCTTCATGAGCGCTTAAGATTGTTGCAGGGCTATGATGGTCAGGTGAGCTATTATTCTTAACTGCACGCCTTAAAGTTGTCGACGGAATTCTGAATCTTGATGCAATCACTCGAATGCTAGGTTATTTAGGGTTAAAAAGTGCTTTAAGAGCAGACTCAATGGCTTTTATATGCGTAGTTTGGTTTAATTGAGGATTTGATTTAGTTATAGTAGGTTTGGTTATGAGTTTGGGCTTGAATATAAGTTTGGACTTGGATATGACTTTGAAGTACATTTTGTTTTTGTTTTTTTTTTATATTTTTAGTCTTTAGTTTTTTATTTTTATTTATTTTTTTGTTTTTTTTTTAATTGCAAAGCTTAGGATAATTTATATCTTTCGCATGATTATAACTCTGTTTGTTTGTAGTTACGATTATGATTATGATTATAATTGCTTTATTTGTATACAATAATGATAATATATAAATGTAATTATTCATTCTTGCGATCGTAATCGTGATTGCGATTATCTTCATATATAGTTATAATTTTTTTGTTGAATAATAATAACAATCGCAAGATTATTTACAATGTGATTGAATTTATAATATCTTTGTTTACAATAATTGTTTACAAAATAGTGCTGTTTAGACCTGTTAATTGTTTAATAAAAAATTCAGTTATTACAAAATAGTAAACTTACATAAAGATAATATCACTATAACTAGCTATTTACAGAAATAGCATTGCTTAGACCTATTAGTTGTCTAATAACAAAAAGAAGAAAAAATCATCTATTATTAAATTAGCAAATTTGCACAAAAGTGATTTACTTATTAAAGAATAGAATTGCTTATGATAGAAAACAAAAAAAAAAAACAATCGCAAACTAGTAGTTTAATTCGAATATAATTTTATAGCGATAGGTCAGAGTCCTGTTTTATTAATGTTCTCTTTATTAAACACAAGTTCATATGAATATATGGTTCTTGGGTGTTAATTATCAAATCAAAAAACTCAATATTTTCATATTTTAATGTTTTTAAAGAGTTCTGACTTGCTTTTATAATTTTTTTCCTATCTGAAGGTTACTAATCCTCATTAAAACATTATTATGTAATATATTGCATTGTTATTCAAATAAGAAAATAAATAATAAAATTTATTTAAAATTGAAGAAATAGCATAATACTCACACAACTTTCTCTCATTTCTTGCACCCTAACAATCCAAATAAAGTGATTTTTGTATCATTCAATATGTCTTGATAAGATGGATTGAATGATACTAAAATTATTTGATTCAGATTACTGTATCACAAGAAATTGCCAAAAAACATGAGTGCACTACAATACCTCCTGTGCCAAAATACCTGACCCTCCCTTATACTGAACTCACTTAACCAACCCCTAAAAAAGGAACTTGCATGTAACACTTATAAAGATTATTCATACACAAATTTCTTTTATAATTAAGGATCAGTCTTTTTAACTAGTCCAATAGTTAGCTGGTTTCCAGTCAGGACTGGTACATGGCTACAAGATTTTAAGATTTAATTTAAAAAATTTTAAATATTTTTATATAAAAAAAAATCTACAGTACAGACAACTTAGTCCCAACAAATAAAAAGTTTTGGCAATTAATTTAAAATTTAATTTATATATATTGATATATGGTACGGCCAAATTATTAATTTAATATAGTCAATTTATTATATAGAGTGGCCAAACTTAGCCAAATTTAGTTTTTTACTATATATTTTATTAAAAATAAAATTCAATACTATAAAAATGTTTAGCTTGAATAGTAAATAGTTTTAATGATGTTCTATAAAGAGATTTTCTTTTTATTGTTTTTAGGATTAGATTTATTTGCCAGAATTATATGTCTGTAAAATGTAGCAAATAGTTTAATCATTGATAGGAAGAGTGAGTTAAATGGCATATACAATAGATCAATTTAACTCCTAATAGTGTATGTTGAGAATAATGACAGGCATCTATTTCAAAAAAAAGTCTTAGACTTTCAAATGTGATTTGAGATCATGTATTTGTATATGAAATGAATATTGAATAAATGTATAAAAGTTAAATATAGAAATAGAAAAAAATAATGTTGTACTATTTCTAATTACAAAAATACAGAAATGAAATTATGTATAATTTTTTTTATTTATATGATAAAATTATGATACAATTGAATTTTTTAAAGTATTACTAATTTGATTCAAAAATTAGTATTTTATTTTAAATTATATTCATCTTTCTTGAATTTTTTTATTTTATTTTATTTTTTCCTTAAGCAGTTACAATAGTATTTTATTAAATCATTTGTAGCTACATATGTAAATACAAAATATTATTTAACTTATAAGTTTATCATTATTTGACCACTTAAATAATATCTAAATGTGACTTATTACACTAATTCAGTTAGAATTAGAAATTATAATTCATCTGATTCTTGCTTTATACATAATAGGATATTATCAATTTGAAAACATCTTCTCATAAAAAAGAAAAAAACAAAAAAAAAAAAGAAATTGATTTTAAAGTTAGAAAAAGAAAAAATGAAAATGGGAAATAAAATAAAATTAATAAAATAAAAATGTAACTAATCTATAAGGAGAATAAAAGAGAAAACCTGTTAACAAGATAAAACTCTATTCTACAATTGTTGCTTATTACAATATATTCATATTTTTATAGATTATAGTTATTCTTTAGAAACTAGGTACTCTTAACCAAAATGAAAACTGTATTTACTTGTAGAATGAAGTTTGAACTGAACACTTTTCATATAAGAGAAATCTTCAAGCAGTTGAAATACTATGTTAAGGTTTGGAGTACACTTAAGCAGTCTAATTCTTTATAAACCTCTATAATCATTTTTTTAAAAATATTATTTATATGATCTCAGAATATATATATATCTCAATATATTTTTGGTCTTTTTGATTTAAATTCTTTTCTAATCTGTTTCATATAATTGGCTGACTCAGTATTTGTTGTATTCCTTATTCATTATATTCAAACAAGCATGTAACTGCAAAAGAAAATAATACATAATGTTGATTTTTTAATAAAAATAAGTTAAATCTTTGTTTTTTGAAAAAAAAAATAAAAAAAGAATAAAAAGAAAGTATATTATTGTTACAAGATAAAGAGAGATTTTTTAAATTTTTTTTTTTTCTAATATTCTTAACTAAAGAACTAATTTTGTCTTTATTTGCTTTTAAAATATTCTTTCAGTTTGGATACTAAATATACAAAAAAGTTCATCATACAAAAGCTTAATTCAAGACAAGAACTACATATTTGAGTTTTATTAATAACAAGTTTACTTAATATAAAACTAAGAATATTATTCACTTTGGAGCCAGAGTTTTCAATCTACTTTCAGTATCAACTTGGTCCAGATGATCATCAAAAAGAGTTAATTTAAAATTTTTAATTTTAATTATAATTTTCTTAAATTGTATTAGTTATATATTAATTTTATAATTATAATATATACAATTGAAAAACTTTTTATCTTTATTCAAGAAAATGACATAAATATTAATATTTTAAATTCTGTGATTGATTATAAAGATAACAATAAAATATGTGAATGTTAAGAAACAAATTATTAATAAATAAATCAGATGAAAACATTAATTTATTATTACAAAAAAAAAAATCTTTATTTGTATAGAAAATATTTTGATAAATCTAAATAAATATGTAAAAAATATAAAACAAAATATAAAATAAATACAAATGTTTCAATATTAAGACAATATTTAGAAGAAATACATAATATTACTGCACAAAACAACTAAAAAAAGACTTATAAATAAAAATTATTATACTTTTTATTTAGTAAAAGAATAACAAGAATGTAATAATACAATAACTAAATGAATATTGTGTAATTTACAACCCTTTACTGTTATTAAATACAAAGAATAATAAGATATAATAAAAAAGTTTGATTTATATTACTAATTTCATAATTATCATACAGAAAAAGATTATATTATAACTTTATTTAAAAATAAAAAAAATAACTAAAATTAATACTTTTACAAATTTTTAAAAAAGTGTTGTTTATTTTTGATATATAGATATATCTAATAGTGCTGTATTTTTTTTTCTTTTACTAAAGCTATAATTATTAGTGATTATTACTTTTATTGTATTTTAATTATGATTATATAACTTGTACAAGTTGAGTCTACAACTAGTCACACATACAACTTTTAGTTGTCTATTTTAAGTAGTCTGTTTGTGTAGCAGGTTCTACACTAGTTGCTATACCTGCAATCTACTAGAAGATTACCTATTTAAATACTTTGATCTTTATATTTATATCAACAAATAGTACACAAGTTCCTGTATACTGAAATGCTATCTAATTAAGCCTTAACCTTTCTGTCTATATATCTGTTAAGCTATTACATATTTTAGAATACATCACTTGACTATAAAGCTTCAGAAGGCTCTTCTACTAACTAACTACTCATATTTAGTCTCTTGTTACTCTTGCAGAGTTCATTCAAACCCCAGCATCAACTTTACAGCATATTCCTAGTACTTATAATATACTTTTGTTTTTGATCTTAGACTTCTAATCTAGATAGGCTAAAAGGACTATGACCTGTTTCTAGTATCCTAAAGTCTGCTTTTTAAGGTTTTTTTTCTTCAGTTTGAGATTTTTAGTAGCCTAATTGGTAGTACTTCTCATTCAAGATTCTTGTTTGCTCAATTCATTTCACATTGGTATTTATTTTCTAGGTTTAGTTTTTATAGTAGTACTATTGAAGATCTGTATTATCTCTCTATTTGGGACTTTCCAAGTGGGCTTCAGCTTTCCAGTTTACAGATTTACATAGTTACAAGAACTTATCTTAAGTTTGCATCATCTAATACTAGTTTGCATTCCTTTGTATAACTTTAACATTGTGCAGATGCCATATGACCTGCCAGTTATGCTGGTATAATCATGTTATAAGTATCTTATCCCAACTGATCAACAGAATGCTATTACTATAATATCACTTACCTTTTGTAAAACCAATATTATATAGATGGTTTTTTCAAATTTTTACTATCAGTAGGTTTTGAACTTTCGATCTATTACTTGTAAGATTGACAACTTATCTACTTTACTAAGTTATTATACCTTTTTTTGAAAATTTAATAGTTTCTTTTTAAATATAATTCTAATAGAAATACATTATATAGATAATATTATAAATTAATAAAAATTTTCTAATTTATTAGTTGTATAATTAATTAATAATCAATTAATTGATTAATTAATTTTTAAAATATTCAATTATTAATTTCTAACTAACCAATTAATCAATTTTTTAATTTTTAATTTGTAATACTATATATAGGATTTAATATAACTAATACTATAATAAATGTTCTTTATAAATTTAATCTAATAAGAAAAACCTTGGTTTTTACTACTAACAATGTTTTGTTAATAATTGTCTGTAATAAATAATAGCAAAAAACTTGTAAATAAATTTAATAATCTTAGGTTTTTATATTATAAATACATATAGTAATATAAATCAAAAATTGTTTAATTATTTAGTTAGTTGAATTAGCAACTAATTAATTAATAATTATGATTGGACTATTAATCATTTAGTTAGCAATAATTGATTTATAATCAAGTTTTAAAAAATTTTTAATCAATTAATTGATTATAATTTTTTAATTCATATTATTAGATATATGTTATATATTTTAAATTAAATAGTTAATCAGAAGTTTAAACATATAAACAAATTAATTATAAAAATAAGAACATTAATGTTATATTTTAAATTGTTAAAATTACCAAATAATATTCTAAAAAGATTTTGTAATATAAAAGCTATTTTCTATCTAGTACTTAAAGTCAATATAAAAACCAAATAAAATTCTATTTACTATATATTTATGAATTAAAAAAAATTAGAATCTATATTAAATTTGCTTATGACTAATGATCAAATAATTAAAAAAAAATATTTAAACATTAATAACTTTTATAGCATTAATATAAATATAATTTTTAATAATTTTTTTTTTATAAAAAAAAATATATATATAATATACTATTTTTTTTTCTTTATTTAAAAAAAAGAATATAATTAATTTGCTTGAATCAATAAAATGTGTTACTAATTTTTTATCAATTTCAAGTTATCCAATATACAATAATATTTGAATTGTTATACTTAGCATTCAAAAATATTTATTTCAGTACAAAAATAATATTAGTTTTTTAAAATCTTAAATAGTTAATATAATATATTAAAAATTTGAAAGTTACTAATTAATACTTAATAAATTATCTTAAATTTTAGCATTCTTGATTTTTAGATAAAATTATTTGTATTTAAAACTAAATATGAAAAAAATACTATAATCAATTTAATTTTAGAATTAAATAAATATTTATTTGAAATGTCAAAACAAATAATTCTTATTAATGATTTAATTAATGATAAAAACTATTTTCATAATTTATATACTTTTAAAATAGTCTTTTTTTCTATAAATAGTATGTTTTTAAACTACATATATGAAAAAATTAAAAGTATTTTACAATACTCTTACTTAATATTGATTATTTGTGTTAGTAACAAACTTAATATTTTGATTATTCAATTTTAAATATTATTATCTATGATTATTTTGACAATTTAAACAATAAGTATTATTTCAGAATAAGTTTTTTTAATTGCTAATAAAACAATTTCAAAAGAAAGAAATAAGCTAAATAAAGAGACAACCAGGGTAATTCTTTGTTTAAAAAGTTGAATTCATAAAGAAATATACTAAAATATTCTCAAAAGAGAAAATTAATAAATAAATAAATAAGTTTTCTATATTTATTATATATATTAAAATTTGCAAACATTACAGTTTTAAAAATAATTTTTTTATTAAAAATTTGATTTATATATATATATATATTTTTTTTTATTTAAGTAATCATATTAGTATACTTTTATTAAGAAAATATTAATATTACTGCTAATATTATACACTTAATTTCTGAGTCTTAACTCTTCTGATTGCTTCTAAGAGTGCTCAGGAGTAACCTACCATACTAGACAATAACAAGTTATTATCTGAAAGATTATTCCTAATCATTACCCTATAATAGAATATTAAGAATCTGATAACATTTTCTTGCAAAGAAGTAAAAGAAAAAAAAAATACTAAACTAAACTAAACTAAAAAAAATTACAGAAAAAAAATAAAAAATAAAAGTATTAAAAAACATACCTTATTTGTAACTATTCCAATAAGGTCATTAATACTTTAAACCTATACTAAGAATCTAACTAAACTTTAATTTATGTAAAAAAAATAAAAATTCTATATATATAATTCTAGGAATTACTATATATCTCTAATTTACTATAATTTTCTAACTTAAATTCTTCTTTATTTTTTTATCATACTATATATTAAGTTGTATACATGATTGTTATGTTCTTATTATATTATATTACAATATATCATTGTTCAAAAAAGAAAGTAGTAAACAATGCTAATCTTTTGTAAAAAGAAAACCAAATTCTCTACTTTTAGATAAAAAAATAAAATAGATAAAAAAGATTAATGAGTATGATATATGAAGAACAAAACTAAAAAGAGTATTTTCAACTATTTGTTCTGTTTTCAAGCTTCTAATAATCTTTAACCAGAGTTTTTCTCTATTGTTTTCAGAATATTTTTTTAATTTGAATACTAAATGTATTAAAAAGTCTGTCTGCAGAAAGGTTTGACATTAATACAAACCACCAGAAGAGTTGTCTGCACTTCAGTTTTTTTATATACTTCTAGTTCATTAGCAACAACCTGCTTTATATATTAAACAGAAACAAAGATATTATCTACTTAAAAACATAAATAACTCTTTAAACTGTTTTGGTATTAGTTTGATTTAAGTAATTATCAGAAAGAGTTGTTTATAATTTGTTGATTTTTATATATTACATCAAAGTTTATACAATACAACAATAACATTAATATTATTTTTAAAACTTAAACAGAATAAAAAGATAAAATGTATAAAAAATAATAATTATGCTAATGCTAAGAAAAATAAGATAAGATTTAATTGTTACATAAATGAATCTCATTTTTAATTACATGTTGTTACTCAAATTTCAGTGATCATAAGACCAGTTCTGAGACTAAAAAGCATTAATAGACTGGTTTTATTAGAGACCAGAACAGACTAGACCAGACTTATCCATCCCTATTCATAATGCAACATTAAAGTTGATTAAAGATTCTTCATGATCATGTTATACATATATGATAACCTAAAGTTTGAATTACAAAACATATTTCATAATTATCAGGTAAAGTTTTGCTTGTTGTTTAGGTTACATGAGTGTTTTATATTATAATTGTGGATTTTGTTATACGATTAGTTTTTTTTTAGTATTAAAATAAGATCATGTTTTTAGTTTTTTTTTAATTTAATGTTAAGATAAGTACTTGTAACCCAGGACTTTATTGATACGTAATATATTTTGGCCAGCAGCTGTTGTATAACAATCACAAGGGCAACTATGAAAAGAGTGTACAACTAATATAGACTATAGTTAAATTTAAACTAATATTTTTAGTCAACTGATTAATCGATAAAATTTTTGACCGATTCCAGACTCTAACCGGACTTCAAGTATTCTTATTGGATTTTAAATGCTCATTAAGTATATGTTATGCACCGAATATTAATTTACTCTAACAGCTTAGACGTTAATTTACCGAATCTATTTAAATACCAAGCCTAAGTTAATTTGTTTAGATCGATAATTTAGGTCAGATTGACATGTGGGCTGTACCCTGCGGCGATTTTGGATGCCAAACCTTGATTTACACCCGGATATATGAGGACACTATACTGATATACAATAGTAAAACATATTAAATACATAGAAGTATTCATCCAGTATATCCCCCAAGCGAGTACCCGGGTATGTAACATGAGCTAGGGGAATACCCCGGATACACATGTCGCAGAAATAAAGTATTTGACGGAAGGTTTTTTTTTGCTGCATATAACTTTTTGGTGATATAACTATGATGCTGAAAAGTTATTGGATCTTAAAAACGACCAGTATTGATCAAGTGATAAAAATAACTAATCTTTTGTCAAATTAGTTTTAGAAAATTTAGTGGGATAAGATTGACATTACTCATAAGACATTAAGTAATAGAACTGATTAATTTGCAATAGAAATAAATAAAATTATGCCAATTTAAATAATTCAAGAACCTATCAAAACTTACAAAGTTACAACACAAGCATTCACAAATAATTAAATTACTAAAAATTCCTATCAAAAATATAATAAAAGATTAAGCATTGTACTTATGCGCTGACCAAAGAACATAAATGTAATTGGGTATAGTTAGCTTACCAAGCATGAGACATATATTTTTGCACGGCTATCAAAGCATTGTACCGAACCTCCGGATCTTCGTGGGTCATTAATTCCATAACTCTTTGTTTTGCACCAATTTCTTGTAAGATTCTAAGAGAAAAAATATATATATTATAAAAACTACTCATCATTAAAAATTTTATTATATAAGGTTACATACTTCTTTCCATCAGGATAGTATTTCACATATTGTCCCAAATCATGCGCAGCAACAGCGAGGACCGTATTATCACTGGACGTACTAAGCAAGCGAGACAAAATTCTGAAAGAAATCATATAATAAAATCAGCTAAATGAAGAGTAGGTTGAGGAAAAAAATTAGAAAAAATATTTTATATACTTTAATAGTTCGTGACCTTGGTCGTTTAATTTTGTGACGTTTTGTTTCCAGAATTGCTCTGATTCATGAGGCGGAGACCATTGAAGCATCCCCGATCGAATTTCAGACGCGTACTCATCAAATGTTCTATGTTTACAATATAAACTAAATTCTTTGTGCCTAGTTATGAGATAAATAAATAATAATTGTAACCTACGTCAAACTCTGGAAATTTTCTTGAAGTTGGGCTTTTAAAAATTCTATATCCTCAACAATTTCGCTATCGGACCATTTTCTAACAGATAAGTTCTCGCAAAAATTTAGTAATTTAGCAACTAACATTGCTGGCAAGTTTGCTTCTGGCGCTTTTTCTACCAGATTCTAAATAAAAGATCATAGTATGAAACTTACATCCATTTTTTCCTTGAACAATGAAAAATACATATAATAGTAACCATACCCTGAAAGTCCTGATAATGATGCGAATTATTTTTTCTTTGATAGCACATTTAGCAATGTTTATTAAAGTAGGTATCAAATCATATTTTCTAACAAATTAAGGAAAATTTCATTGGCATTCGCTGCAAATCAAATAGCGAATAAATATGGGAGGATATCAATAGAAAACAAGCAAGTTGATTTTAATAAATTTTAAATTTAAAATATCTTAACTATTAAACAAATTTAATAAAAAATTTTTATTTAATTCTATATATAGAATTAAAATAAAAAATTTTACCAAGTTTGGTTTAATAGTTACTGATATTTTAATATTAAGTTTTAAAAATTTCCTTAGAAACAATTTGCTTGTTTTCTATTGACCTCCCCCTATATATTAGCTGATATGTTACCTGTTGAATTCAACTGCGATATTTCTCTCGAAGGTCAAGAGCCAAAAGCAAAAAATTATCTGATATTGCATCTGTAGTGTAGGATTTTTAACTTTGAGATAATTGACTAATCTATCATAAATAAGGAAAGATTATCAATATACCAATTGATTAGATATATCTTAATTTCATGTATTATATTACTATAAATTACTATAAGTCAGTAAAATACGCTTACGTATCTATGCCATGAGGCATCTCCCAGAATTGAAAACGACATGATGGAACTTTTAAAATCGATTCTAATATCTGAACAGACAGATCGCAAATATTAAGATTATTGCTTTTAAGTTTCACGTTGATCCAATTAAAAAAATCCGTAACATCAAAAGGAAGAGGTTCAGGTGCTGAGCTGTATTAGATTTAATGCATTTATAGTACCACTCTATAAGTTTAGTGAAGATACTGTAATAGAAACCGCTTCATACCACATTAAAATAGTCAAAACTTTAGCCGAGCTCAATTGAATAAACTCATCATCGGCGTTCAAAATTCTATATATTATAAAGTTAGACAGTGAGATATGACATTATTGAGAATTAATAACATCATTACTTACTTTAAGAACGGACGATAAGGAAGATCAGAATTTTTAGAAGATAACTTGTGAAAATACGATGCTCGTTTTTCATCATCTAAAAAAAAAAAACCCGATAAGTGTACATACGAAAGTATGGTAGCTCTCCCACAAAACTCCTCCCTCGTGAGTTTTATTCAATTAGATCAGGTGTAATGAAATCTTTGGGTTAGGATTAAGTCACGTTGGGGGGAATTTTTTGGTTAATTTTTTGGTTAATTTTTGAGGGTTAATTTTTTGGTTAATTTTTTGTGGGAGATCTACAGGCGACATTCTTGAAAAGAGAATAATATTAAGTTCTAACCGGACAGCATATCATTAGTCATGACCAATATATGTTGTACTGTATCAACTCGTTTCAATGTTTCCAAGAGACTTGTATATAGTTCAGCATATCTGTCCGCGTCCTTCAAATCGATAACACAATAGATCAAATACAAACTTAAGACTAATTAAGCATAACAATTTCGAGGAAGGTACTCAAAATAAACCTTCTGCATGACTGATCTTAATTGTTCGCGACTTTGTTTATCAATACGTTTCAGAAGGTCAAGTTCTTCTTGTGTAATTAGTCCAGCCTTTTGATAACCCTAAGGTAAGAAAATGTATACAATAAAATGAATTATTATCTTGTGATTTATAATTTAATATTAAAAATAAATCATCTTCATTAATAGATTTTGGTAGATTCACTTTAATTTAAAAGATTTTGAAAATACCTCCCACGGAATTGGTCGCGCACGTATGTCCTCCGTAAGCTCATCTAAATATGAATTAAAAACGAACGCCAAAGGGACATCAGGAACAGAGTCATCATTTAAATTCGTAGCAGCCATCTTTCAGTATAATAATTCGATTGAAAACTAAAAGATGAAAAGAGTTTGATTTGCAACGATCGTAGATAATCTCCAAATAAAGTGGAACTCGATATTGATTATGTAATCGATCTCCAGGGGTATAAATTCATCACCCGACGCCTTAAATTAGTTTTGATTAAACATATTAATTACATAAGAACTTGAATTAAGAATGTACAATTCTCGTAATATGGCTTCAACAGCGCTCAAGCGCTTGATGACTGAATACAAAGGTACTATCTTATTTAAAAAATATCTAAGTTGAATACTAAGTTATCTTCGTCTTTTACAGAATTAACACTGAACGCACCTGAAGGAATAACTGCAGGTAACATTTTACTTGAATCAAGTTGTCTAGGTTTCCTTAAAGTTTAATCATGAAAAGATTAATTAAAGGGCCTATAAACGAGGAATCCTTTTTTGAATGGGAGGCGCTTATAGCGTATGTAATATCTTGTTTGTACAATATGCTATTTTATAAGTTTCACCGTTGAATTTGAAATTTAAAGTGGGCCTGAAGGAACGCCTTATGAAGGTGGTATCTTTCCTGCGGTGCTCCGATTTCCCTCAGATTATCCATTGTCACCCCCAACCATGAAATTTACATGCGACATGTTTCATCCTAATGGTATTTTTTTTTAATCAATCGGCACTCGCAAATCTAATTGTTTTAATAGTCATTTAATATCCATTATAAATATACATAATACAGTTTATCCCGATGGAATGGTTTGCATATCAATTCTTCATCCACCCGGTGACGATCCGAACATGTATGAAAGCTCTTCTGAGCGCTGGTCACCAGTTCAAAGTGTCGAAAAAATTCTATTAAGTGTTGTAAGCATGTTGGCTGAACCAAATGATGAAAGTGGTGCCAATATTGAAGCTTGTGTGAGTTTATTATTGTTATTATTATTATCGTTATTTATATATTTGTTTTGATAAAAAATCAATCTATGTTAATTATATTCTAAAAGAAAATTTGGAGAAATGATCGAGAAGCGTTTAATAAAATTGTTCGTGATAACGTCAAGAAGACATTAGGATTGTGAGCTAGATCATATTTATACATTTGTTGAGTTCGAATATAAAATAATAGGTACGAATATAATATTGATTACTTATGAATATTTGTATGTATATCGTGAATTGTTATTTTTAAATTTATAAAAAAAAGGGTTGGCACATGTTCAAAACGTCATTAGCTATTATGTTTTAATTATTCTTCCTGTAGTCTGAACTCTTTTTCAAATATCTCAAATAACATTTCAAAGCATGGGTCGAGATTCCGTTACTAATTTGATTTCGTTTTTATGTACGGTGCAGCTGTACAAAAAAAAACATTTATGAAAATTATGATCAAAACTTTGTTAATAAAAATCTTGATTATATAAATTTTTGTAGCAGAATTTTCTATATACGTTTTTAAAAGCACTTGGAAGTAAACTGTTTGTCTAATTACTTAAAGTAGAGTTTTTTTTCTTCTGTGACAAGCATTGAAATTGTCTTTGTTGCTTCTTTTTCATTTTGTTTTCACTTTGTTTCTTTTTTTTCTATTTTTGAAAGTGCTTTTCTTTTTTTTTCTAGTTTTTTTTTTATTTGAGTTTTTTTTCATTTTGCTTGTTATTTCTAATGTATAAACTATTATGTTATTTGTTTTCTAATAGTTGTTTAGGTTTTTTTTGTATTTCTTTAAGATTAGGTTTTTTATTAATTTTTTTATTAATTTTTTTTATTATTGTTTTTTTTTAAAAAGTCATATATTAGAGATATGATGATATTTGTTTTTTTCTTTTTTTTTAATTTTTTTTTTAATCTTTTTTATATTATTAAATATATTTTTTGTATTTATTTTTATAGATTTTTTATTTATTGTAATTTGTTAGATGTATTTATGTTTTTTTTTATTTTTATATATTTAACACTTTGATATTATATAAATTTTTGTTTTTTTTTTATTTAATCTTTTTAGAATTAAAAAATTGTTTATTATATATTTAATGATTATAGTTTTTTTTATATTTAACTTTTTTAATATATATATTTTTTTTTGTTGTAATTATTTTTTTTAAAAAAACTGCTTAGTTATAAATTATAGTTTTTGTTTTTTGGTTTGATATTTATAATTATTTTATAGAAAAGTTTTTAGTTAATATATTAATATTTTTTTTTATTTTTTGTTTTTTCTCTTTGGTCTTTTGACTTCATTAATACTTTTGTCAAGCATTATAACAAGTATACAACTGGCTATATATATAACTTTTCTATATTACTTATTTAAGAAGTTTTACTAAAAGTTTTCTATCAGTTGTTATATCTAATAACTTTGTTTAGATGTTTATTTTAAGCTTTCTAATCCAAAATCTTTGTATTAACTTTATTAGATTATATGCATTTAGATTCTCATCTTAACTTTAAAACAATTTTATCTTTGAATTAAACCTATCAAAGTGAGCTATATATTTTTTATCTAATGCTAATCTGAATTTTTTGTTATGATTAAGACCAAACTTATAGTTAGAGTTATTTATTAAACTGTTATTACTCTAGTAAAGTTTATCCAAACTCTAATATCTGTTTTTCTAATATCTTCTTTATCATTTCTTACTAGTTGCAACTCAGAACCAATAGATTTTTCAAACTTATAATTCAGATAGTCTGGTATTGTAATAGAATTTACTTTTTTTTTATATTAATATATATTTATTTTTAACTTTATATTATATCTTATATTTTTTTCTAATATTTTTACATAGTTTATAGATTATTTTATTAGTTTTAATCACCTATTTAATAGGTTAATATTTATT